TGTGTGTGTGTGTGTGTGTGTGTGTGTGTGTGTGTGTGTGTGTGTGTGTGTGTGTGTGTGTATCTATCTATCTATCTGTCTGTCTGTCTGTCTGTCTCTGTGTGTGTGTATATATATATCGTCAAACAGAGCTGCCTGGTAAACTGTACGCAGAGAGGGAGAAGAGGACAACAAACGAGGGGCTGTGACAAACTGTTTCGTCGGAGTTTCACCGACTCATCAGGAGGCTGAACCCTCAACTGTCTGCAGAAACCCTAACTGATTACACTGTAAGTGATAAAACCCCAGTTGTGCTTAAGCATCAGCAACTGCCCCACAAATGGTACCCTGAGGTGGGCACCAACCACTATATCGTCAGACAGATACGTATAGGGTTCATCCTCCTCATGAGTCGGTGAAACTCTGACAAAACAGTTTGTCACAGCCCCTCGTTGGTTGTCCTCTTCTTGCTCTCTGCCTGCAATTTGCCAGGCAGGCCCACTGTGAGCACGCTTTTGAGCGGCGCTCAAATCCTTGAGTGCCGACTGTGCGCTCAATCAGCGCACCGTTTCACAGCTCTATTAATCTAACCCTCTATTGATCCATCAATCCATCTATCGATCTCTCTCTCTCTATCAATCCATTTATCGTCCTATCTCTCTATCGATCCACTGATCAATCTAATCTATCAATCCATCTAATCTATCTAGTCAGTCTAACCTCTCTCTCTTTAGTTCATGTATCTATCTACCTATCTACATACCTATCTACCTACCTATCTACCTACATATCAATCTACCTATCTATCTACCTATTTATCTACCTACCTATCTATCTACCTATCTATCTATCCATCTATCTACCTACCTACCTACCTATCTATCCATCTATGTATCTACGTATCTATCTATCCATCGATCTATCTACCTATCTATCTATCCATCTATCTATCTACTTATCTATCTACCTACCTACCTATCTATCTACCTATCTATCTATTGATCTTTGATCTATCTATCTACCTATCTATCTACCTATCTACCTATCTACCTATTTACCTATCTACCTATCTATCTACCTATCCATCTACCTATCTATCTACCTACCTATCTATCAGGTGTGGGAGGAATATCTGTTGCATCCTCTTCTCATGCTGGGAAATCACCTGAAGTAAAAGGCACAGCAGGCAACAAGAGAAGACAAGGAGCTTAGCAGAAGTCAGCAGATGGTGGAAAGGGTGAGGCCAGAGACACGAAGTGTCCTTACCAAGAACTCCGCATGTGTCTTGTTTGAGGCAAGATCCCAAAGAATGCAGCCTGCCTCCTCCCGAGGGTCCTGTTCTTCTCTCTCCTCGTCCTCTTTCTCAACCTCTTCTCCTTCCTCCTCATTTCCAAGGTCATCTTGGCGCCCCTTGAAACCCCGAAAACCATCATCTTTGTAGCCCTTTGACCCCAGTTCTTCTGGCTCCATCCCCCCACACTCTTCCCCAATATCCATGCCCTTCATTCCTTGTTGTCCCGTCCCGTCAGACTCGAGATCTCTCGCAACCTCGGCGTCAGACTCCACCCTCTTCACTGCACTCATCGTTTGGTCTGATGGTTCTTTCCCAAGCTCATCACTGCCAACAGGAGCATCTTGTTGTGCAGACAATCGCCCCATCTCCAACCCTTTATCTTCCTCCCTCATCCTGCAATTGCCCATCTCGAGCATTCCTAATCCAACAGCATTGACATTAGGTCCTCCTCTTCTCCCTCCTCTCTCATCTTCACCTTCCCGGCCATCCATACCACGATTCCCAACCTCCAGCCCATCGCTCGGACCATCAGGATTCCGTAGCACCTCCCTTTCCCTCCCTTCTCTTAACGAAGGGCACGATAACGAGCTGTCATCAGCGCTGTCTGAACCCATCCCCTCTTGTGAACACATCCCTCCGCCGTCTTCATTCACGGGACTCTCAACCCCTCTCTGAGCGGTGCACACGTCAGCCACCGCCCCTTGCACATGATCACATAAGCCAGCTCTGTTCCCGACATTGCCCTGCATTAGCCGAACATCTTGCTCCTCACATGCTGAAGCTGACGTCCTGTTCCGTGTTTTCATGATGCCTCCTTCCCCTTGATGTGGCTGCGACTGGTGACTGGAAACCTCGGAAGAGTAAGGGTCGCTAGGGCCAGACATGGGCGGCAGCAGCTGTCGAATGAGATGGACCACATAGCTCGGATCGATTGTGGTAAACAGATCACTCGATCCCTAAAAACACATGCCATTGAATTGGCCCACCCAAAACAGCAGTTAGTTTCATTGGTATCAGTTCAGTTCAGTTCAGTTCAGTTCAGTTCCACTTCAGCGAAGATCCCAGATTATTTCCGTCTGAATTCCAGACCAAATTTTCTCTCCAGGTCAACTTGTGGTCCATGTTCAGTTCCACGATCCATTCCAGGTCCAGTTCCGGGTGGAGCTCCAGGTTCAGTTTTGGTTCTGGTCCCAGACAATTGAAGTGTAGTATCCACTTTCACCACAGACCACAGTTTGTCGACAACACACCAGGATCTATCTCCTAGAGCAACCACACATCTGAGAAACTTCAGTCCTAGACACCAAGCAACCACCACAAATCTGAGAAAACCCAGTCCTGAGACACCACTCACCCCCTTAGATCACGGGGACGACAATCGACGGCGCATTCACAGTATTTCGGCATACACAACAAAGACAAAGTAATCCACTTGCAGAAAGAAATGTAAGATTCCCCTGCAACATGCATAGACCAACAGCCAAAAGTTGACCAATGCACAGGAGATACCTCACAGAAGAGATCATCCGTCTATCTGCAAGGCCAGATAGGCCTCGGGAGGATTAGCACCCATAGGCCCCCAGGACAGGAGGAGGGGTTGGTGGCCGTGGGAGAGGACTTGGCCGGTACCTCAAGACCAGGCCCTGCTATTCTCCTGAAGAATCCACAGACAGGTGCACGCTGCCGGCGTCGGAATGGCACCCTTACAAAGGTGTCCATTCATGGGCTTTGGCGGCTCCGCAAGGGGTCTAGCCCTGTCTCTTATACACATCTAGATGTGTATAAGAGACAGGTCTAGCCTATGGCAAGACAAAGCTGGCTGGGCCTGCGCTATTCTCCTGAAGAATCCACAGACAGGTGCAGGCAGCCCGGTGTCAGAATGGCACCCTTACAAAAGTGTCCATTCGTGGGCTTTGGCGGCTACGCAAGGGGACTAGCCTATGCCAAGCCTGCACTGGCTGGGCCTGTGCTATTCTCCTGAAGAATCCACAGACAGGCGCAGGCAGCGCGGTGTCAGAACAGCACCCTTAAAAAGGTGTCCGTTTGTGAGCTTTGGCAGTTACACAAGGGGTCTATAGTAGCCTATGGCAAGCCCCCGCTGGCTGGGAGTAGCTGCCTAGCCATAGGCAAGGTGTTAAGATCCCATTTACCTTGTGTAGTCCTGTCAGATACTGTCAATACCTGCACCCCCCAGAACAACTCAAATCACCACATATCACTTGTGGATAGCACACAGAGATTACAGTCCGATAGAATCAACCCGACTCCACTTCTCCCTCTAACCTCCTTAATGCCATCCACACTTTATGTCCAGCAGTGTACACGGTTTATCCTCCACCGAGGAGTTGGAACCAGAAACCACCTCCATCAACCCGACTTCACTTCTCCCTTCAACCTCCATCATGCCGTCTACCGTATACACGGTTTAACCACCACCAACTCGTCAAAATCCGAAGCCGCCTCAAGAACAGTGCCCAAGTCCCATCTACTCTTCTTCCCTATCCACCATAGCCTCCGATCTGATCGTCGCCGCGTAAACACAGGTGCCCACTGACTTCTTCCCCTTCTTGGGCCAATGCTGCTGTCCTACCGCCATAGTGTGTTACCCACAGCTGCAAGCCAGCACAGTTGTTTGAGTCTCCCCCCTTCGATGGTCAACAAGCATAAATGTGACTTGCTTCGTTCAGCATTCTGGCAGCCTACCGGCATCAACCAGTGTCTCTGACCGAACTGCCTGGCCTTATATATTGTTGGCCAGACAGTCTGCCACTTTCCAAATGGGGTGCCGAGGTACAAGAAGCTTCTGGTACCCTGCATTATTTTCAGGCCTAACGGGTTCTGTGCCGATCCTTCTTGTCAAGTATTTTCAAACTTGGCCTGGCAGCAGAATTTGCAGAAATACCCCCAAGGCCAGTTTCAACAACTCAAAACAGGGGGACAAACAAATAATTTCTTTCAAAGGGGAAACTACGCGCGAGTCACAAACGTGAGTTGTAATTTCACTATGGGCCAAGATGCAGTTTCGAATTGCAGTTCGGGCAATGTATACAACCCAGCTATCTGGCCAGGTAGGGTGCCCGAAGTGCAATTGCAAACTGTATCTTGCCCCATAGTGCAATTATAACTCGTTTTTGTGACTCTACTTTTTTTTTCTTTTTTTTTTTTTAATACCACAGAACCTCTTGGTTCTGGCTCCTGCCATTCTGGGGAGCGACAGTCCGGTTCCTATTCCCCCAGCAAGTCATAAATAATACATGGGAGACTCAAGCACGCTCCTCCCCTTTATGGCTGGGAGGTCCGAGTGGACGGCATTGATTGCTTCCTTGACGAAGGATGTACCACCCCTCGCCCCTGCCTAAGTTAGCCTGTGCTAATTGAACTGCCTAGTTGTTGCTAATCTAACTGAGCCCAGACCCGCTCCTCTCAGCTGTGGTGCTGTCTGGTTGGTGTGTTATGCTTGAGCGATCTGGAACACCTACGAGTCTTCTGGAGTCTCTGATGCCCTGAGACCTGTTTGCCCTGTCTCTGTCCAATCCCTAAACCCTAAGCCTTCAGCTGTGAGGCTGCTGTGGTTTACCTGTTACTAGTTCCTAAAAATGTAAAACATATACTGTTCTTAGGCTCTAAAACCCTAAACCTTGAACCCTCTTCCTCTCTCTAGCTTGGGGTGTGAACCAGGACCTTGTGGTCCTGGCTCCTTTCCCATTCTGGGGAGCATCGGTTCGGTTCCTGTTCCCCCCGCAAGTCCAAGATAGTGCTCCTCCCCCTTATGGTGTGGAGGCCCAGAAGACGGCATTGATTACTTCCTTGGGGAAGGATGTCCGATCTTCGCCCCTGCCTAAGTTCGCCTGTTCTAGTAGCTGCTGCTTGACTCTACTGCGAGTATTTGGTCTCTTATCTGGGTGGTCCTCTCTATCAACTGGGTCTGTAGCTTGTCTGTGTTTTCTCTATGATAGTGGGTGTGTCGGACTCCTTTGTTCTACTTGTTTGGACCTTGGGCGCTGTTTAACTTGACGGTAACCCTTAATGCTGAAACTCTGTACCCTCGCTTGGCTGCACTCTGCTGGCAGGGTTTTCCTGGTGGTTGTCTCCTGGTTGTGCCTACTGTTGTTGTGAGGTCTGTTTGAGATCAATAGCCTTTTCTCTATTTGTGGTAGGGGGTAGGTTGGAGAGGATGGGTGGTTTGGGACAGTGGCGGTTGCGTGGTAGCTGGGAAGCGCGGGAGCGAGGGAGGAGGGGAGGGGGGGGGAGGGGAAGTGTACGTTGGAATGTGTTTGTTCGGGCCTAGGGATGGGGGAGGGGGGGGATGGGAGAGCGTGTGTAGAGGCTGAAGTGGTTTATGGATTTACTGTTGTGGAGGGGGGTGAGCCGTATGGGGTCGATTTGGTGGCGGGGATGGTTGAGATACTGTTGGTGATGGGTGTGTTGGTATCTTCTTAGCTGGGAGGTTTTGTGTGAAGGAGTGGGTTCTAATAGTACCTGTCTAATTTTAGTTTAGGTTAGACTCTAATTGTTATTCATTCCTATTTGGGGGGTTTACTTTCTTGTGTTGCCTGATTTCCTTTTTTTGTTTTCTGTTTCTGTGAGTGAGTTGGTTTCGTTTTCTGGCTCGGACGTTGGTTTTTAGGTTGCTTTACTTGGATTCCTGTATTTGAGTTACCTTCCTAGGTTTTTAATCTTCTAACGTTTCGTGTGTGGGTTCTTCCTGTCGGTCCTCCGTGCTTTGCTGCTCCGTGTCCCACTTACGGAAGCTTAGGTGTCTGTCTCTTGTTTTTGCTATTTTCGTACCTAGTAGCCATTTTTCTTCGAACGCTTTCTGGCTCTGTCTTCTCTTTTAAGGATCCGTTATCCTTTCTTGCTTTCTGAGTTCTAATTTCCATTGTGCTTTGTGACTCTACTTAAGTTACCCCTTTTTCAAAATAACAAGGATGTTTTTTTCAAAACACACCAAACAGTACAAACCACAACCATTCACAAGTACAATACACTCGCATGCTGCTGCACAACTGTGGGTTCTTGCACTCCCGGCATCCCAAAGGCAAGGTCCTATGAGGCGATGGAGTCCTACAATTGACTGCCTTTCTTGAAAATGGCATAACAGGTCTGCAAAATACCCTTTGCAGTCTTAATTAGCGTTCTCATATCCAACCAAGCATCTTCAGATGGCAGCTGATACCGGTCATCAGCATCAAGTTCAACAATCCGGTCCAGTTCGTAGAGACCATCCATTGCCATTGATGGGGATTCTGAGAAGGTCTCGAAGGGAAAGAATTGGTGCACTTACAAAGTGCGATTCTTAATGCATGAAATACCGGGAAAGAACTTCCGATGGCTGCTGATACCGGAAGCAGAGGTGAGGGTCATCAGCTTAAATTTTGAACGATCCAGTCCAGTTCATACAGACCGTCCATTGATGAGGATCCTGAGAAGAACTGGAGCGGCAGGAATTGGTGTGCTTACAAAGCGTAATCTTTGATGTATGCAATACAGGTAAAGAAGGAAGGTGTGGGGGGCCATCTATCACATAACTCCGGCAGAAGCGGTCATGCCCACAATGTCTAGAACAACCCAAAGCCCACAGTAGAGAGGATCTAAGTATTTTGGGTACTATCTTCTTCTGGTGAGAAAAAAAATCAGACATCTTGACCTGTACTGAATCTCCAACTTGAAATAACTGACGAACTCAGTGCAGCGCCACATCACCCTGGACTGCGCTGCTTGGAAATTGGGGATCCTGACCCAGTTCCAAAATCGCAACCTCCTGGGATCACTTCCTTGCCAATCGCCAGCCTCCAGATGAATCGCCAGGCTAAAAATAGCCTCTCAGAGCCTCCCCGGCCTCTGAGCACCAATCGCCAACCACTCCTGCACAACCCTAGTCAGGAGTGAGTCACCCTCTGTCCAATTCTTCTCACTGCCACCTTACTGACAACAACCCTGAAGATGATGAATCGCC